TGAGCCTAGCCACGGCATGAGCTTCCACGCCTTGGATGTAAGTGTTTTCTCAAGTAGCATGTGAGCTCCTCGACGCTTGCAGTTGAGCCAGATCTGCTTGACAAGCCGCAGGTGCTTCATACCAGTTGCTAGCTTCGTCATCCTCGTCTTCTGCGGAAACATGTGCGATATGTTCGTGAACGGATCGCAGGGGAAACCCACGATAGTCATGTATGGGTCGTCCTCGTCCAACTGCTTCAGCACTTTCCGGATGTCCCTTGGTCTCGTAGTAGGGTGTCGCCGCTGCTGAGCTTCCGATGTGGCCGCCATGCCACCAGCATAGAGCTCACATATGATAGGCCGCTTCTCCTCCGGGTCCGCCTTTAGCGTCTCCACGACCTGTTGGCACTGGTCCAGCTTGTCCTGCAACTCCTTTTCCCACGTCTCGATCTGCTTCCTCTGCTGTCGTCGTAGGATGCCTTTGTCTATCTCTTGCACCTGCGCGGTCCAGATGTCGATCTCATCCGTCGTAATTGATGGTACCGTCTTGGTCGTTTCTCTCTTCGGCCAGTCCTTAAGTGAGATCGTAAGGTGGCCCTTCTCAGTCTTGTTGAGTGGCACCCCGTACTTGTTGATCGCCTTGAAGTCCGCCTTTCGCTCCTTCACGTACGGCACTGTGTCTAGCTCCTCCAGCTGGTGGATGCTGAGCAGTATCGGCGTCTTCGATTTCGGCAGCCTCTGGAATCGTAGATTCACGTCGGCTCCTGCAAGTCCAGCTGTCACCTCCTGCTCGCCTTCTGCCATCACCGTGGCGCTATCATTCACGCCTCGGAAGCGCATGGATGAGCCCCTCGTCCTCGTGGTGACCCTGCTGTCCTCAGCGTAGCCGTCCAACGTTAGTGAGCCTCCACATCCACGTAGGCACGCCGGTCCTTTCCTTATCGCGTAGGCCTCGGTCTCCTCCAGCTCCTCGTAGTCCACCTGCAAGCCCGATGATGGTGCATGATCCTCTGTGGGCCTGTAGTCTGTGCCCGTTCTGCGTTCCGTCCACAACCATGTCGGTCGCACTCCATGAGGTAGGCGCTCGCAGGTGTTCCTCACGATGTCCCGTAGTTCCGAGGTACTGTCCCAGGATGCTTTGCATAGATCGTACGCCAGGTTCCGAAGCCCCTGTGGTGCCGTCTCCATCGTAATATGCATGAGCTGGTGGACCCGGTGCCCAGTCCACACACCAATCCATGTAATCTTTGTAGGCTGCTTCCATGTTCTCACAGCTGACCCATAGAGCTGCGATCTGTGCTGCTTGATCTTTGATCTTCTGTAGGTCTGCTGCTGTGTTATCACCAGAAGATTCGGTGCTTGATCTGCTGGGCCCTGTCTGCCATGATCCAGATCCTGGCGTTTGGTCCTCAGTGCCCTAGGATTCTCGTGTGCGTTGATCGTCTCCAAGCGCTGATACAGTCCAGGTGTTCACGATCTGCTCGTCGGTGTCGATCCTCACCTTCGTCAGACTCGAGATCTCCTCAATCTTGGTCTCCATGTTCGCCAGATGATCATTCACGATCTGGATAGCAGTCATGTCCATTGAGCTGTCCGCCATCAGTAGCTTCACTGCCGTTGCCATCGCAAACCCAGCCCGTCGTAGAAAACCTCCAGGTCGCCCGTGAAAGCCTCGTCCACCACCTCGTCCTTCACGCTGTAGGCTGCTCGATGATCCGCCACCTGATGGCCTTGTCTATTCGCACTCCGGGTCTCCTTCCCAGTGACCCTTCTTGTGGCACGCATTGCACTTCGTGTGCGCCTTTATCTTCTTTAGCTTCTCTTGGGCTTCCTTGCCGTCCATCTTGATGGATCCTTGCTTGTTGATGTTGGCCTTCCAGCCTCGATTGGACTTGTTCTGTGCAAGCCTCTCCCGCGCCTGCTTGTAGTTGGGCTTGTGACCTTTCCGTCCGGCCTTCCACCCGAGACGCTGTGCCTCAGCTGCTAGAGTGTCGCACTCCTCCTGGCTGATCTCCTCGGGGTCGACGTCGTCAATCACCCCCTCGAACTCGTCGACTGTCGACTGCCAGCGCGTCGTAATCTTCATCGCTCAGGAGCCCGTCCTCGTCGCACACGCCACATTCGTATCCGAGTAGGGCTTCCTCCTCGTCATCGTCGTAGTCCGCCGGGTATGCTCCATAACGTCCATGGCCACGTTCGTCTCTGCACGCCGTGTCCAGCTGGATGAGCAGCGCTGCCGTCACGCCATCCCATATGTATTCGTTGTTGCACTGCCCGAGAATAGCCTTGTGCTCGGTCATGCTGATATTGGCGTAGGAAGTATGTCTGCAGGTCTTCACTCACAGTCGTGTTCTCTTAGAGAGACTTGAGCCGCTCATACTCGGTTTCCCGCCTCGAGATGTAGTCCTGCACAGACTCTGATTTGTTGCGAAAACCTTTGAAGACATACTCCTCGAAAGCTTGCTGCTTTTGTAGTGGGGCAATCCGCTCGCACGCATGTCGTACTGTTGCCACCACCAGCTTCACTGCAGCAAGTGGGTCTTCACCTGCTTTGTCCAATACTGCTTGCGTTGCAATCTCGGCCCTCTTCCTGGTGAGGTTCCACGCTCGCCCGTTCAAGGAATTCTTGAGCTTGATGGCGTAGGGCTTCTGCAGCTTCTCTTCGCTCGCGTGGTAGCCGAGGAGCGCCCGCTCGTCGAACTCCTCGCCGTCGGCTGGATCGCCGTTGTAGTGTACGACGCCCTCTTTGTCCACGAAGAGGGGTCCGTCGTTGGATTGTTGCTGCCTGGTCGCCATCTTGTCTGTAGAAATGTTGTTGCCGTCTCTGTTTATAGTCTCGCCGTCTCTGAAGATGGCGTCGCCGTCTTTGAAGATGGCGTCTCCGTCCAGATCGTAGTAGATGTCGTTCTCCCTGCTGCTGTCTGGGTCGTGGCAACGATTCACGGCCAGGCTGAGGGTGAGGATGCTCAGCGTGTTGATGGCTGATGAGAGTGCGCAGTGGTAAAGCACTACGAAGGTCTTGAGCGCCAGCACATACCTGCACGGCCACTCACAATATGAATCTCGCAACCGTAGAACTGATTTAGCTCCAGGCTACCAGTGTAAATATAGATTATAATATTTCTCCCACCAAGCACCTGATGTAAAGATAAAGCATGAGACATAAGATCTGTTTATCTCCGTACTCAGGCCAAAACGTGAGTAGGTGCGTCCACCCTCCCGCCCAGCTTATGAGCCACAACGGCAATGGGCGGAAGGGCAAGACAATTCATTATCACCCTAACTCTCACATCCTCGCCTATACAATTTTCACAATCTTCCTCCTCCGCAAAAAGTGAACGTGGAGACTGCGATCCCGCTGGAGGGTCTTGCGCTCACACATCGGGGAGGTGTGCGAGGGCGTCGTCGCCTGCATGCAGGCCGTTGGCGGCCCCTGGCTCCAGGTCTGCCCGCGAGGGCCGAGGGGTGAAGAACCTCGTCGTGCCGTGCAGGTGCACCTCTAGGCGCCCCGATCCGTTCGAGGAGGGAGCGGTTGAGGCCAAGGCTGGCCAAGAGTCGACTATACGCAAGAGTGTCCTGTCGCCGGAGTGACTTTCTGTGCGGGCTTACTGGAGGCTCCCCCTCGATCGCTGAGCGCGATGCGATAGTGGCTGCTTGCGCGCCTGGATTTGGCCACCTTGCGCCCCCTTGAGCCGCGCACCACAGGTCGCTCGTGCCCAGGGTCACTCTTGCGTGTGGCCGAGAGAGGCAGCCGCCGGAGCGGCGGCTACCGAACGGCCGGGGGCAGCGGCGGCGGCGGCGGCGGCCGCGCCGCGGCGGCACAGCGAGGCGGCGGGCGGAGGAGGGCGACGGGGGTGGCTGGCCGTCCACAGGGCCGCGCGGCGGGGGCGGCCTCTGGCGGTCCAGAGCTGCAAAGAACAGCCAGGAGGGGCGCCTGGGCGGCCGCAAGCGGCCCCTGCGGACGCGCCAGTGGCTGGGAGTCCCGCCGGCGGTGCCGCTGTCGAACATGGCGTTCAGCAAGCAGCATCCCAAACATCCTCTGCTGCCATGGCCGGAGGCGTCGACATGATGGCTCTCGTTTTCACATCAGAGCTCCTCTTAGGGGGTAACGCCGAGGCAGCCGTAGTTGAATAATTCCATTGCTGAGCTGGTCACTTCGAGCACCTCGAAGGCGCGATCATGTTGGATTGGACAGCCACACCAGTTCGGCAGTGTGTGTATGTGTGTGTGCGGGGTCAGGAGGGCCTCTGGAGATCCTGACGGCTAGGATCTAGGAAGGTCTGGAGACTGACTATCAAGATCCTACCATTGCACCCGTCCGAGGCATCCTTCGGGGGATATTAGGCTCAGGGGGAGATGCATCAATCAACCCCGAATCGCCCGTTGATCGCCGATAGGGGCCTGATAGCCCACCCGCTCAGGAAGCTGCAGATTTGCAACCTTTCTATCTCCCCTCGACGTCCTCCCCCCTCCCCCTCCCCTCCCTCCTCCCCCCTCGACGTCCTCCTCCTCCCCCCCCTCAATCTCCCCCTCAATCCCCCCCTCCCCCCTCGACGTCCTCCTCCTTCTCGACACCCCTCACCCTCCCTCCTACCCCTTGCTGGGGGACCAAGGGCCTGCACCAAGTCGGGCTTTCTCGGCGGCCGGGCCACGCTGGCCGGTAGCCAGCGCTGCGGGCACCTTCCCTGCCCAACTCTGCAACTTGCAGACAACTTGATGGCATTGCGTTATAGGGTGCCTCTAGTCGAGTCGAGTCGAGTCCTCTTACCCCTTCCCCCCCTCCATCTCCACCCCCCTACATCCCCCTTTTTCCCTCCCCCCACGTCCCCCTTCCTCGCCGCCAGGGGGCGGCGGGCTTGACGGAGGGTCTGGCGGGGCGTCCTTTCCGCCTGCAGGTGCTCCTCCGATAAGGGGGCCGACCCCTGCCTCTCTTGAGCTGGGCCACCAGCGTGAGGCTTGCCTCTCGCTGGTGGCGCGACGGCCTGCGCTCGCCCTCCCCCCTCGCCCCCTCGGCCCCGAAGGACGACGTCTGGCCGGGGACGAAGGCCACCCACCGGCAGCCCCCGTCGCGTCTCCCTCGCGCGCTCGGCTCTGAGCCTCCGCCTGTGCAGCACGGGGCTACGCAGTGGCTCCGCCCCCCCCCGATCGGGGGAAGCGTAAGATTCGAATTCGCCAGAACTCGGATTTACCGAAGCCCTCGGACGAGGCCGTCCTGGATTTTGACGGTGCAGTTTTCGTGGGACGTTTGCAGCGGGAGTTCGTTTCAAATTTCAGACTGGGTCTTGTCACTTCCTTGACGGGCCCGTCAGACCAACCCGAGTCCCTCGAACCCGAGTCTTACGTCTCCCCGACCAGACACCCAACGTTTTGACGAAAAACAGAGCGGAGTTTTTCTTCCTCGGGGGGGGGGTCGAACCAGGCCCCCCCCAAGAATTGCAAGGGGGTTCGAAACCGCCCCCCCCCCAACCGTCTCCAGTGGCAACCGACGACGGCGAGCGCCGGCGCTAGCGCCGGCGTATGCGCCGTCGGGCGCCGGCGTATGCGCCGTCGGGCTGCGACGATGGCGACGACGAAATCGAGTTGTCCTAGAATGCGAGCAAGGGTGGATCGAATCCAAACGATATTCGATTATAGAACTGGACTCGCTGGATTAAGCCATAGGTGGATTCGCTTACATATGGATTGAGCTTGATTAGGATGCGATTGAATTTAGATTTAGCTATAGTAGGATGCGGGCGCAGGCGGTGACTCGCACATGCCAGGTACCCCAGTCAAACACCTGTTCAAGCAACACTAGACCCGCAGCCCGCTGCACGAAACGGACGACGACGGCCTCAACGGTCCACAGACAGAACCAGTGGTTCCTTTTCAAGCACCTCCAGCTTTGCCTACTGGCCTGGGCGGTCCTACTGCCGACGTTCAGAGTCTCACTCCAGATACTTTCCGATCGATCTTGAACGAGCAACTGGAATCGATCCAGATGACCATCACAGCCATCAAGTCCCATGGAGTATTACAGCATGATCTTCAGAATGCGTGCAGCCCGTTGAAGACTGATATCGACGAGCTCACCAAACGCATCGCACTGTTAGAATCAAGTTGCACATCCCGAGCGCCTTCGGCCAAATCAGGATCACACACTTCGACGACGCCTGGGTTGGAATCTAAACTCCGGGGCTTAGAACAGCAAGTTTCACAATTCGGCTTTCGAGCACCCCCTGGGAAATATGTACCTGCTGATGGTGAGGGCAAGCGCATGGTAACGGCAGCGGTGGGTAATTTATCTGGGTTTGACACTTGTGGTGCAGCTACAACTTGGTCGACTGACACTTCACACGAGATCAACGCGCCGACCACACGATATGTTTACTCGAAGAGGGACTTCCGCAACCTCATGTTCGTGGAGTTCAACAGCGAAGATGACCGCGACGTGGCTTTCGGTATGCTGCGTAGATCTGAGGCGGCCCATGCAGGTGCAAAGATCTGGGCCGCGCGGGACTGGCCTCCCACGCCACGTGCGATGTGGCATTTTGTTTCGGGTTGAAATCTATCCTCAAAGGCGATTAAAGCAGCCAGTACAGGATCGTTGTCTCCACGGATGATTTGCCGTGCGCTGTGACTTATTGGGGGGCAGGTTGCGGTGCAGGTGAAAGTAGCAGACAATCAAGTTGCATTTGATGTGTTGAAGAAGTGGAGGGTTTAGGAAGAGCTCCAGAATCATCCCAAACTAACAAATTTGATCAACAAGAACAATACCACCTTAGGCTTGGGCTGCTGCCGGTATGAAAGGGTTCCGCCAAGGTTCAATCCAAAGGCAAGAGGGCACAATAGGAAATGCGGCCTGACCCGAGAGCCGGCCAGCCAACGCCCACATTCTCTGGAGCTGGTGGGCGCGCAAGTTTGGGCAAAGGTGCCCTCCTGCAACACCGCTTGAGCGCTTCGCATGATAATTCGTCTATGCTTTCAGGTATCTCGGGCAAAGCTACCAGTATACCATTTACCTCCTACAAGTTCTCCTTCGACTCCTACCATATACATTGTCGCGCATGCACCTTGCTTTTCTTCCGACGCTCCCTCTTTGCAAGGGGCGCCGCGCGTCCCAGACTTGGGCAAAGATGCCGCGCCTGGCGCGTCGCACATCATGTTTGGAGTCTCTCCATTTGTCCTAGGTTGCTTTTCTAGTTGGCGCTGTCCTTCAGCGGCGCCTCGGACTTCACCTGCACTTTATTGGCTACAGCTACAACAACATCAGCGCGCAATGGTATCAAATATGCGATTTGGCCCCCCTCCTTTCCGCGCGCATTGGATCCTGAAATATCGAAGGGCTGCGGGGCGATTCCCGGATCAAGCTCGCGGAACTTGCGATGATGATGCGGAGGCTGAGCGCGGGGATTCTATGTGCGCAAGAGACGCCGCTGCACGGTGCGCGCCACGGTGGAGGATCTGGATTCCTTATGTCTGTCTGGGGGGCGTGATCCAGAGCAGCGCTCTGATGCGTGCGCTGGGTCAATCATTGCTCCGTGGGCGCGCCGAGCTGCGGCGGCTTTCCGTGCCATGTCACCGCGGTCGGCAATTTTGAGGGCGCGCGTCAAGCCCGGCATCCCGGGCGCTATCACCGCCCATGCTCCGCGCGGGTCGCGCCCCGGCGACCATCGGCAGGCTCTTTCTCAGCGCTAGGGGCGGCGGCGGAGCGTGCGACGTCGCACAGCGCGACGTCGGCCCTTGGCGTCATCTACGCGGAGCTACATCAGCAACGCATGCCCAGCCAGAGGACGCAGCGAGAGACGTCGAACAAGCAGCTGTTGATTGAGTACTGCGTGTCAAGGGACATGGCAATTGCCAACGCGCGCTGCCGAATGCCAGTCCGGCAGCCAGTTGCCTGCAGAGACTGCGGGGCCCACCCTCTGGGGTCCGTCGCGCAGCAGAATTTCCGCCAGATTGACTGCGTGCCCTGCCGCAACGCAGTGCTACCGTGCATTCTGGATTGCAGGGCCGACAGGACGGCGGCTCTTACGGCCGTCGCTTCTTGACGCAAGTAGCGGTGCGCTCTCAATTTGAAGAATGGCAGCTGCGATTTCGCAGCTTCGCGTCGGTGCATCGTCGGTGCGGGGCCCGCGCATGAACGGGGAATATGCGCAGAAGTTTCTGCAGGGCATTGGAGGCGTCGCGAAGGGCAGACGGGGCGCTCGACGACGTAGCTACGAACTTAGAGCAAGCCTTCGCAACAGGATCAACTGCGTTACCGGCCAGGGCAACTCAAGCCAGGGGGCGTTTGATCTCGTCTTCGACCTTGGACTTTATGGATCAACGTAACGCTTGCTGGCGCAGTGGGGGTCGCCTTCGAGGGCATCTTGAAACGGGAAATCCGGGCGGCAGCTTACATGTCGCACCGAGTGGATCAGCGAGAACTTGATAGATGGAAGTTGGGAAGCGTGGAACATTGTCGGACGGTCTCAAGCCGAGCGCTCCGGAGTGCGAGACGGTTCATCAGTAGGGCGTCGCGTTCGCGGATGTTTCCCCTCCTGCCTCAGACGCCCTCGGGGCCGACCTGCCAGTGGCAATGTCGGATGTTTCACTTGGGGGGGGGGGGGGGGCTGCAATGTGCCTTACAGAAGATGAAGCGTGGAAAAGCAGCGGGCCCTGGTGACGCCCTCCAGATGTTTTGGAACATGTTACCTCAAGATGATGATGCGCGCGCGGCCCTCCTAGAGATTTGTGAAACATGCTGATGGGCCAAGAACATGCCGGACACATGAAAAGAGCGAACGTCATTATGCTGTCCAAGAAGGGGGGGCACTGCGTGGCCGCGCAATGACCTCCGGATCTCTTTCTTGGCAGTTGAGTGCGAAGCTTTGGCTGCAATGGTCCACTGGGGGCTACTGCGAGGAAGGGCCGAAGACCAGATGCGCAGCTCGCAGTTTGGTTTCTGACCGCGGCGAGGCACGGCTGACGCCCTGATGGTCGTCGGGCGGATGGCGGGCGCAGCTATCCTCAACGAAGGCGGCGGCCCTCAGCTGTGCGAAAGTTTCCGACTGGCTGAGGCCGCAATGTTAGAGTGAAGTTTCGGGGCGATTTGGGGCCCCGCTCCCCGTGGCGCGGATGATCTGAGGAATTTGCGCGGAACGCTTCTTCGCCATTGCAGATCATTGTGGGTATTCCACTGAACGGGAGCCCTCTATCCTTGTTTGTTGTTCCCCGCATGTTTCGCGGGGTTCTCGTTTCTTCCCACCCGCGTCTCGCCCGCGTCTCCCTCATCACCTCCCGCCCCCCCCCTTCTCCTTCTCGCGCAGCGCAGCACTGCGCAGCGCGGCGCAGCACGGCAGACCGCAGCACAGCGCAGGACAGCGCAGCACAACGCAGTTCAGCAGAGCGCAGCACAGCACATCACAGCACAGCACATGCACAGCACGCCCCGGTCGTGCACTTTCCCGCAGTGCATGGCAGGCGCGGCATTTCCTCGACGCCACGGGGGGGTGCGCTGGAGGGGGGCCCTATGCGTAGCAGGCTCGTAGGGCGTGGCAGGCGCGGCGCCCCCTCGACGCCGCATGGGGCGCGCTGGGGGCGGGGGCCCTATGCGTTGCAGGCTCGCAGGGCGTTGCAGGCGCGGCATTTCCTCGACGTCGCAGGGGGTGCGCTGGGGGTTGGGGCCCTGTGCGTTGCATGCTCGCAGGGCGTGGCGGGCGCGGCATTTCCCTGACGCCGCATGGGGCGCGCTGGGGGTGGGGGCCCTATGCGTTGCAGGCTCGCGGGGCGTGGCAGGCGCGGCATTTCCTGACGCCGCAGGGGGTGCGCTGGGGGTGGGTGCCTTATGCGTTGCAGGCTCGCGGGGCGTGGCAGGCGCGGCATTTTCTCGACGCCGCAGGGGGCGCGTTGGGGGATGGGGGCCTTATGCGTGGCAGGCCCGCGGGGCGCGGCAGGCGTCGCATTTCCTCGACGCCGCAGGGGGTGCGCTGGGGGTGGGGGCCTTTTGCGTTGCATGCTCGCAGGGCGTGGCAGGCGCGGCATTTCCTCGACGTCGCAGGGGGTGCGCTGGGGGTGGGGGCCC